GTCTGCCTTGGATTGCTTGTACCCAAGTTGCTTCAACGTGATTTTCTGGTTCCAGATACGACCCGCTTGCTTCAGCCCGGGTCTTCAACAAACACACCTCCTCCTCAGATCCTACTTGATAGCCCATTGGTTGCTTCATGTAAATGGTCTCGGTGAGGTCTCCGTACAGGTATGCTGACTTCACATCGAAGTGCTTGACTTGCAGGGATCGACGAGCGGCAATCGTCAACAGCGTTCGAAGCGTAGTTTGTTTGGCTACTGGAGCAAAAACCTCATCGTAGTCGGTGCCGAACTTCTGACTGTAGCCCTGTGCTACGAGTCGTGCTTTGTAGCGGATCACTTGGCCAGACTCATCCAGCTTCTTCTTGAAGATCCATTTGCATCCGATTGGTTTTTGTTTCGATGGCAGCTTCACGATCTCCCATGTCGAGTTTTCTTGAAGGATTGCGAATTCCTCATCCATTGCCTTCTTCCACTCGTGGCGTTCCTGGCTGCATATAGCTTCATCATAGGTACGGGGTTCATCGTGCTGATTGGACACTAGGCGGGTGGTTTCTTGATACCCCAACGGTAACACACCTTTGTTTTTACGGCTGGACCGTCGTACATCCTCCGCTTCGTCCTCGGTGGCAGTGTCAAAATCTTCTCCGGCGCTGAAGGATTAATCAGAAAACCCTTCGAAATCGTCTTCATCGGATTCCGAAAGCTCCAACTCGAATTTATCGGCTGTAACAACGGGTTTCTCATCATCCTAAACGGAAAAAGGTTTGAAAGGATAAAAAACGATACTTCCCTCGTGAGGTTCGGTTTCCCGAACCCCATCTGCTGGAATGAACCTGGCATCTCGAGATACGACGAGCTTGTTCGTCGCTAGATCCAGGAAACGGTAGCTCTTGTGCTGCTGCGAATAACCAACGAAGGTCCTTATTAGAGAGTTGTATAGATTTTTCTCCTTTAGCTTACTTAAATCTTTGGTTTTTATTAGTTAGGTAGGTTCCGATTCAAGACATTGTAGTTTCATTTTTATACCTATGATCTTGACTTTTTTTTTACCTTGGGGGTTAGATTTTGATAAGTTCTTTAGTGGGAATGACACTGATGAAGACTGCACATTGTAGTCGAAATACGTATCTGTCATGGATACCAAAATTAATTAAGTGGAATTAAATGGAAGATAACCTTTTTTGCTGTTTTATTTTACAACGAAGGTCATTTTCGTCGACTTTGGGTTCAATTTCGTACGCTTCTCTTTTGGGACCCACACGAAGGCTTGTGATCCGAACAATCGAAGATGGGTGACGTCTGGTTTCTCTATAGTCCACAGTTCGTATGGCGTTTCCGGCACGGCACTTGACGGCAAACGGTTCTGGAGGTAACACGCTGTGTTTACTCCTTCGGCCCAGTATTGCTTTGGCATTCTGGTATCAAGCAGCATGCACCTTCCCATCTCAACTAACCAACGATTTTTCCTTTCAGCTACTCCGTTCTGCTGGGGCGTGTGGCTGGTACTTGGTCCGATCGAATTACTTTCGGTGACCTGCCGAACGTTGTCTTCATCTCCTGCACATATTGCTTGATGTAATCAATTGCTTGCGACTTTGATACACCAGCGAGTACCGCGTGAAGTCATCGGTAATGTGTTCATTGGTCCGCATAGATCCGTGTGCACGAGGTCGAGTGCTTGCTTCGTTTTCGTCTTGGATTGCTTGGGGAAAGGGAGCCGGGCAAACTTGCCCTCCAAACAACACTCGCACACAGCTTTAACACCGCAGCTCACTATATTGATCCCGGTAGCCAGATTCTTCGATTCCAACTCGGCGACTGCTTCTGGTTCTCTGTGGCCGAGCTTCCGGTGCCACGCGTGCTGACAATTTTCCGTGTGACTATTGCCGTTCGCCATATGGGTGATCTGAAGGATGTACAAACCGCCAGATACCGAGCCAAGAGCTATAACCTTGCTGCCCTTGGAAATCCGACATCCTCCCCTTTATTCTGCGCCGCGAGTGAGGTGAGGTGACTCGCTGTCACTAGTGAGGTGACTCTCCATTTGATTTGCACGGAGAGTCACCTCACTAGTGACAGCGAGTCACCTCACCTCACTCGCGGCGCAGAATAAGGGGGCCTGTATCGTCGAAAATGACAGTGGCGCCGTTCTTCGTTGCAGATCGTACAGAGAACAGATTCGATTCAAGATCAGGGACAAACAGCGCATCATTGAGGGTTTTCACCAACGCACTGAATACGACACATACCTTTTCCAGCCGATTTGGTCTTCATTCCATTCGCCAGCACGATGTCTTCGTAGACGGACTCGTCCAGTCACTCGAAAAACTCCTTGTTGGCTGCCATGTGGGACGTTGCACCAGAATCAACTACCCACAAGTTGACGTCACTGCCTCTGGTTGTCATGAAAGCATACTCGTCGGAACCGCTTCGAACTGCCTTCGCCTTCGTAGGTCTGCTGGCTTGCTTCGAGCCATGTTTCTTTGGTGGTTCTGCATCCTTGCTCTGGGCCAGCAAACGACAATCCTTCAGCTTGTGGCCAACCTTATGGCAATGGTGGCAAACGATTTGCCTCTTCGTACCTGCCTTCAGTACCAAATGTGCACCACCGGCACAATTACGCTTCGCTACCTTCGCAACTTCGTCTTGACTAGGTCGAACGTTAGGTCAGCATCAGAACGGCTTTCCAGTGCCGTTGTAAGCGGATTGAAAGAATCCGGCATGCTTCGAAGGACCATCGCAACTTGCAAATTAGCATCCAGCACCTGGCCTGCTATCGACAGCCTTTCGAATAGATCTTGCATCTCGGTGATGTGCTTGTCGATTTCCTCCCCATCGGTGTACCGCATGTCGCAAAGTTTCTTGAGGATGGATACCTTCGACGTGAGCGTCGTACACTCGTAGTTCCTTTTCAAGTTCTCCCACGCTTCCTTTGACGTAGTGGTGTTCTGGATCAGATTCCGATGGCTATCGTCTCCCAGAAGACCGATTGTAGCCCTTGCTTTCTGGTCACATTTTCGCCACGGCACGTGCCAGTCACGTACTCCCAGAGATCCTCTCGAACCAGCAACAGCTCAACTTTAAATTTCTAGCTGCTGTAGTTGCTTCCGTTTAGCCGTGGGACACCCAATTTCTCGATTGTGGTCATCTCCGGCTATGAAAAAACGACGGAACACTCCCGAACGCGACTAACTTACGCACGGCGGAAAAAAATCACTGTTTATCGGTTGCTATGGTAACTTGCTGGGCCCATAACCTCTTGGGAGGAATGGAGCAAAGTAAAATCATAGAGGTAACTCTAAGACAAGTAGGTCCCGAAGAAACGTGCTCAACTTTTTGGCTCACCTCTGGTACTATCTTCGGTCCCAAGCTTGTCGAATCACCCCTCGAAACATAGGAAAACCAATAACCCCTCATTTTATCTGTCAAACTTTCATAGCGAATCAAAACAAACATTGCGTAGTACTAGAATTTCGACAAGAATAGGGTACGTTAATCGTTTGCTTGGGACCAATAGGCTACTAAAGTGGTGAGCCAATTTAAAATCGTTAGTTTCGTATTGATTGTTGGTAAAATAGCGTCTAGTCCGTAAGAGCGACGACAAAAGAAGAAAGAACGAATTTTATTCAAATACCTCATGGCTAACTTAGACGTATATTATTTCTACTCTGCAGCTCTTCACGTTGCTAAATGCACCGCTTCATCTTGCACACTGTATAATACATCTTCCGAATACCAATTTTCTCGATAAATTTTACACATATGATTTAATATATTTTTCATGACAAAACTCTCTGATTAGTTTCACTTTACTATTGATGACACACTACGTTTACTTTTATGGAACTATGTATTTATCAATTCCAAACCAATTTATAGCTCTTTAGAAAATGACAAACTTCAAGTTTTCGAGCACTTCGTTCATCATTTAAAAAGTCAAAGGGTCTATTATGCAATCCAATTCAATCAGTCGGAAACTGTTGAACCTTATCGAAGAATTGTTCGACCTGAGTTGAAGAATTTCTCGTGATGGATTAAAAAATCGGTGCATGGAACGTTGAACTACCGATTACAAATTTATAACATTATTTCACACGTTATTATCCCAAATGGGCATTACCCTGAATCCTTTGCGAAAAACTATTGATTATATATTTTCCTTATATATTAAAAGAAGGGAATATCCCTTCTTCTTCGTATATCCAAAGAATTAATTATTTCCTTTTGTTATATTTTCAAAGAAGGGAATATTCCCTTCTTTATCATATATCAAACGAATTAATGATGTTCTCTTTTATATATTCAAAGAAGGGAATATTCCCTTCTTTATCGTATATCCAAAGAATTAATTATTTACAGCTTTTGGAAATGAATTCGGGGTGGTGTACCGTTCGGGGTAGTGTCATAGAACCATGTTTCCTGTATCAGCTAGCATTTGTAATTTGGAGGGGTGGGTTTTCATTTGCGAGACATCGACGTCTAAAGCCATTGTTTACAAAAGCAATTACGCCCCATTGAAATGTTGGCACTGAATTTATATGAAATTCGTGTTTCCATCATTCGCTTTGTTGGCGCGTTTACCGTGGCCAACTCCGGTGGGTTGGAAGTGGACTGTATTTCGTTCGGATTGAAAGATTCAACACACTAATCAAATTATCACCTTAACACTACTTTTATTCTAACTAGTTCACTATTTCTCTACAGATTGCTTTCTTACTTCACTGGATGTAACTTGGATGGTGGTCGGAATAATACTAAAAAAAAACGCTGGCTGGCTGTGTCGCTTTTATAGCAGTCGTCCTATCGTATTTTGCTACTTTTGGTCCTATATACTTGCCTGCCGTGCGCTACGGCGAGCAGCAGGCAGCAGCATGTTGAAGAGAAGTATATACTGCTTCTCCCTTCTTGTTCGGTGTCCTTAAAATTCTACCTGGAGTGCGTTGTTGCCACGATGGGTGGTTTGAATGACGATCGTTTGCGTTGTGTTTTGGAAGCTACTATAGCTTGTTTCGCACGGAACATACTCCGCCCGGTTGACTCGTAGATTCAACATCACTCAGGGTTGGTGGCTCGTTGTCCTCAATCGGCAAAACTGCGATCCGGTTGATCGGTCGTCGGTAGGTAACTCCGTTAGACGACACATCGATGGCTCGGACCAATCCATCTGGCCCTGGGAATACCTGCATGATGCGGCCTAGCTTCCAGTTAAGCGGTGGTTGATTTTTGTCCTCCAGTAGAACTACCATTCCTGGGCGAAGGTTGGATGTCGTCTTGGTATTCTTTGACCTCGGTTGAAGGCTGCACAAATAATCTCTGGACCAAGACTTCCAAAAATCCTCACGCATCTTCTGTAGATGTTGCCATCTTTTCAGACGATTAATTTGGATGTCTTCAAGGGATGGTTCCGGAACGGCTGTAAGTGGTCTACCAATCAAGTAATGAGTTGGCGTAATTACCTCTATGTCGGCTGGATCGGAAGAAATCGAAAACAGTGGCCTAGAGTTGAGAACTGCTTCGATTTCGGTGAGTATGGTTGTTAGCTCTTCAAATGACAATTTGGAATAGCCAACCACTCTGACCAAATGTCTCTTTGTCGATTTTACAGCGGCCTCCCACAAGCCACCGAACTCGGGTGCGTTCGGCGGTATGAAATGCCACTCGATCTCTTTTGGCTGACAGAAGGACTGGATACGTCCTGTGAACTGCTGATCCTGGAACTGTTGATATAGCTGGTGCAACTCGTGTTGTGCTCCTCGGAAGTTGGTGGCATTGTCAGAATGCAACTGTTGCACCATTCCTCTTCGGCTGATGAACCGTTGTAGCGCAGCTAAGAAGGCGTCGGATGTGAGATCAGACACGACCTCGAGATGCACTGCTTTTGTTACCATGCAAACAAATACTGCCACGTAAGCCTTGATGAGCCTGGATCGGTAATTTCCCATCTTGATCCAAAATGGGCCGGCGTAGTCGACACCAGTCACTGCAAACGGAGGTGCTGGATTTATCCTCGGTTGAGGAAGATTGCCCATCAGCTGCGTTGACATATTTGGATTTGTGCGGAAACATCTTACACAATTGCGGGTCACTTGCCGGATGGTTGAACGGGCGCTCAGCAACCAATACCTCTGGCGCATAGCAGCAATCAGGCCATTTTGCCCAAGGTGCAAATGCTCGATGTGCATTGTGCGGATTAGCTGCTTCGTAAGTGGATGTCTGTTCGGAAGGATAATCGGATTCTTCGTCTCGGCTCGTAGATTCGAATGTTGCAGGCGACCACCAACTCGAAGCAATCCATCGACGAACACTGGATTCAAGCCTCCTAGCTTGCGGCACGGTTTGTTGGTTTGAACACGACGTATTTCGTCAGCTAGCTCTGACTGTTGAACCATCCTCATAATGGTGAAATTCGATCGACGGAGTTCGGAAATAGTAACGTACCGGTTGAAGATACGTTGTGACCTGTTCTTGGTGCGGATGTTGGCGATGAATCGAAGTACCAATGCCATGATGCGTTCGATCTTCCTGAAGTCACTGAAGCGGGAAAACAGTGGAAACTGTTCCACCACAGCCGAAGTGACAATTTCGGTGCTTGTCATTTCGGGAAGCTGTTGGTCGGGGATATCGACTAACTCCTCTTCGTCGTACTCGAGTTTCGTGAGGAAACTTGGTCCGGTCCACCAAAGATTGTTTCTGCGCAAATCGTTTGGTAGCTGACCTCTGGACACGATGTCTGCTGGATTATCACCAGATCGGATGTAGCACCAGCGATATCCTGCAGTGGAGGTATTGATTTCATGAATTCGGTTTCGGACAAAAATCTTGAGGCGATCGGCTGATCGTTTCATCCACGCCAGAACGATTTGACTGTCCGACCAGAGGACCACGTCACGGAATTCCATTTGCATGGCTGGGATAATCCTCTGAATGAGTCGAGTTAGTAGCAATGCGGCACACAATTCCTTTCGAGGCGTTGAAAGGTCATGTAGCGGAGCAACCTTGGACTTGCTACTCAGCAACTTCATCTTGGCGGAACCGTTTGAGAACAGGCTTCGAACATAAACACATGCACCATACGCCAATGATGATGCGTCGGCAAAACCGTGGATTTCGTAGGACACGGCGTCGTGGAACGTAACTCTTCTTGGTATGGCGATTTTGTCGAGTGCTGGCAAGGTATTTGCAAATTCAACCCATCGCTCCTGTATCGAGTCGTTGACGGGGTCATCCCAGCCAATCTTGTGCTTCCACAGCTGTTGCACTAGTAGCTTGGCGACGACAATCACTGGTGACACAAGTCCTAACGGGTCAAAGAGCTTCCCTAATAAAAATTGTATGGTTAATTTGCTTAACGACGTGTTCTGGGTATCTTCCAAACCATTTGTGGAATAGTTCAATGATTTGGGTTATCGTTCGTTTATGGTTATTTTTTATTAGGGTTGGCCACCTCGGAGTAGATGATACGCTTCGTTGATCGTTGATTCAAATCACATTGTGGCGGCCTTGCGATGAGGAAATGATCGGCTTTTGGATCCCAAAGCAAGCCTAGCACTTTGATGACTCCATTCGGTCCGTATTCTCCCAATGGAACGGGCTGTTCCAGTCGATCGTTTGGAATGTGGTCCAAAAACTCTTTTGAGTTGGAACACCACTTGTGCAGCGAAAACCCTCCTCTCTTCAGTAAGCCTTCCAGCTGCCTTGCTGCTTCTAGGGCCTCCGGAAGTGAATTTGCACCGGAAAGTGCATCGTCGACGTAAAAATCCTCCTTGGCGATTTGCGCACCGATCGGAAAATCGGTTGATTCATCATCGGCGAGCTGCTGCAAGCACCTGGTAGCTTGGAACGGAGCCGATGCTGTTCCATATGTAACCGTCGTGAGCTCCAAGACTCGGAGTGGCTCTGACGGCTGCTCACACCAAAAAACACGGAGATAGTGTGTGTCCTTTGGATGCATCTTGATTTGTCGATACATCTTCGGCACGTCGGCTGTGAATGCAACTGGGTACTTGCAGAACCTGAGTATGACGTCATAGAGTTCTTTCTGTACCACTGCACCGACTTGTAGAACCTCATTGAGTGAACGGTTGTTCACTGTTGGTTTGGCGCTGGCATCAAATACCACCCTGCACTTGGTGGTCGAACTTGATGGGCGAAGTACCGCATGGTGCGGCAGGTAGTAGTTTTGCTGGTGCGGTGGATCGTCTTCTTCTCGTACTTCGTGGCAGTGTCCCAGCTCTTCATACTCACGCATGAACTGAACATACTCCTCTTTCAAATCGGGGTTCCGCTGCAGCCTCCTCTGCAGCATCTGGAATCGCTTCAAAGCAACCGCTCGGCAGTCACTAAGCTCGTGCACGTTATCCTTGAACGGTAGCCTCACTTGGTATCGTCCATTTTCATCACGCTGGTGGGTGGCGACGAAATGGGCTTCACACTCCTGTTCTTCCTTCGTCAGAGGACTCGAATCTGGCACCTCTTCGAGCCTCCAAAATCGTTGAATGGATTCCTCGATGTCATCCAACGATACGATGAGCGAATGTTGTGGTTGATTGGCGTGGATCGTGTTAGTGAATACACCGCCTAAAACCCATCCAAGGCAGGTTTCACGGAGATCGGGAAGGCTGTCGTCGAGTTTGATATGTCCTGGTCGCATCAACTTGAAGAATAACTCTGCACCAAGAAGCATATCGATCTTGTCCGGTTTGTAGAATTCCGGATCGGCTAGTTGGACGCCGAAGGGAATGTTCCAAGATGACACGTCGATTCTTGTTGGCGGGATGACACCTGTCACATTGGGCGTAACCAAACACTCCACGTGTGCTTGGAAGTCGGTGAGTCGAGATCGGATGTTGACCATCACCTTGTCGTGGGCTACAGTCCTGACGTCGTTGATGCCACAGATTGGAACGTTGACACGATGCTTCTGAATTCTTAAAAGATTTGCAAAATTGTTTGTTACGAAATTTACCTGAGAGCCGCTATCTAGCAGTACTCGGCATGAATGCAGTTGATTGTTTTCGTCCAGCACGTTGACAACCGCTGTCAGCAGGAACACAGTTTTCGTGGAATCGGCGTAGTTACACGAGCAGGATGTGCTCGGTATATCTCTTCCGGATGGCGGGTTTGCTACCGTGCTATTCGGTTGAACTGTGCGAGACTCTTCTTTCGAAACGGACACGTTGGCTTTCGGTTCTCGGTTTACCTCGTCGTTGTGGAGTTGTGTATGATGCCGTTTCTGACACTTTTGGCAGCACCTCGGTGATGAACACTCCTTGGAGCTGTGCCCCTTGCGCAGACAGTTGAAACACACACCAGTTGTGCGTACCTTCTCCATACGTTTGTCAAAGGACATGTTACCAAGCGCATTGCATTGGTAGTTGCGATGTGCACCTTGGCAGAAATCACAAACCTCCTTGCTGATTGGTGTGGTTGCGGCGGCATGGACCTTCGGGTTGCTTGCTTTCGGTTGGAATGCTTGTACCTTCGGGGTCGATTTGGAAGCGGGCTGCGCATTAACCTTCTGGAAAGCTGTTTCGCAGTTCTCCAACATTTCACATCTCGATTGCAGGAACGTAATGGTTTGCGCATACTTGGGTAGCACGCCCTTCTTCTGTGTGCCTTCCCATGCCATCCTGGTCGTGTTGTCCATGGCGGTCGTCAGCATATGAACCAGAAACAAATCGGAAATACCGAGGAATTCCTGTTCAAGATACTTCAGGCTCTCGACGTGGCGGGTGCACTCATCGAGCAGACGTCGCACCTCCTTGTGGGATCCGGATGACATTCCTTGCAAGTTGAACAGACCACGAACGTGCGTCTCGACTATGATCCTTTTGTTTTCATAGCGATCGGTGAGAATGGTCCACGCTTGCTGGTAATTACCTTCGTTGATTACTTTGGCATCCAGAGCACCTGTTGCTGCACCAACCAGAGCCTTGTCCAGATGATACAGCTTGATCGCGTTCGAGTCTCCTGAGTTGGCCATCAAGTCTTGGAATATGGCCTTGAACTTCGGCCAGTTGGCATAATCACCATCGAAGGTTGGAATTGGAGCCTTCAACGGTTGCTGTTGGACGATGATTTGTTGTTGCGGGGCTTGAGAACGAACACTGGCATTTTCGTGTGCCATGATTAGCTCATCGATGGTCGTGCGGACGAAGTTGTATCGGTCTTCAAATGCGACATAAACTTCCTCCTGCTGTTGAAAACTTTCTTGGGGAATGATAGCAACCAGTTTGCTATGCACTGCGCTGTATTCGTTGTAGGCCACATCGATATTCTTCATGTACGTCCTGAGTTGTGAGAGGCTCACCAAGTTTCGAGCGGCAACAAGCGCCCTTTGCACACGCACTACTTTCATGGTGACCTGGTCTCGCTGGCGGGAAAGCGACGTTATTTCCTTCACGGTTTCGGAATCAGCACTGATTTCCCATTCTGCAAATCCTTCGAATATTGCTGACTCGTCGTGCTGCTTCTCCTTGCCTGTGCCCTCAACTGCTTCCTTAGCAGCAGGCTTACCTTTCGGGGTTCGATCCACTGGCATAATGAACTCGTTGTCACGTCGTACGTTACACACAGCACGAGCACGTATGGTTTCGGAATAGCGGTTCTGTAGAAAAATCCTTCGGCGGGCGGGTTGAAACTTGCGAATCGGATTCGCAAGCGGCGGTGATCAATAATTGATTCCTCTCCTGGCGGTACACGTCGTGGTTGGCACACCACGGAAGCGTGTCGGAATACACTCGGTCGAGTGGCGATGGTGTCGAATCCTTTCCTACGGGCGGCGCTGGATCCGGCTCGAAGGACCACTATGTTGGCGCGTTTACCGATGCCAACTCCGGTGGGTTGGAAGTGGACTGTATTTCGTTCGGATTGAAAGATTCAACACACTAATCAAATTATCACCTTAACACTACTTTTATTCTAACTAGTTCACTATTTCTCTACAGATTGCTTTCTTACTTCACTGGATGTAACTTGGATGGTGGTCGGAATAATACTCAAAAAAAAACGCTGGCTGGCTGTGTCGCTTTTATAGCAGTCGTCCTATCGTATTTTGCTACTTTTGGTCCTATATACTTGCCTGCCGTGCGCTACGGCGAGCAGCAGGCAGCAGCATGTTGAAGAGAAGTATATACTGCTTCTCCCTTCTTGTTCGGTGTCCTTAAAATTCTACCTGGAGTGCGTTGTTGCCACGATGGGTGGTTTGAATGACGATCGTTTGCGTTGTGTTTTGGAAGCTACTATAGCTTGTTTCGCACGGAACACGCTTAGTTGCCATTTGATTCTAATGATCTGGAAATTACAACAGCGAAGAATGCTTGATGCTGCATTAACTGTTTTCCGGTTGTTGGGAACTTTACCGCTTGGAAGTTGTCTAACTTACATTTGAAGCCCTTTTTCCAATACTATCATAATATATGTGCAAGCTTCATTTTCGAGATTCAACATTCAACGAATTTTTGCAAATGGATTTTTCGGATGAATAAATCGAGACCACCTGCCGAACGAAACTATTTATTTGGAAAAGGTAGTACCTATCAACTACACACTACTTGAACATAATTCATTGAATGTGGTTTAAAATTTGTATGTTGCGTTTAAACACTAAACTTTTAAAAGTGAAAACTCTGACTGCTTTTTGTGGATACAAATTTTCAACTATGAAACCAAACTACAATAGTGGTAAAACTGACCTTTTATGATGTCTATCTAGCACTAGGTACGTCCCTTTTCCAACCAATTATTTAGGATTTAGTGTTCTATAGTATTGATTTCAAATCGTACTTTCGGTTTGCGTAAAAGAAAAATGCTCACCAAACTAGCTGTTGTTGTAAGTGTAGTCATATTAAAATATAACAATTCGCCAAACAAAAAATAATAATGTTTACGATACTGGCATAAGGCTCGTTGTTCCAATTTAGGAAGAAACTGTGCCATGACAGACACACAGTTCTTTGCCAGTAAATAAAAAAAAAGTTTAACCGAAAAGGAATAAAATATAATCTGCTCAAGAAACTCAAGGATACAGAACTACGGTTGGTTTTCGATTCAAGAGAATGGAAATACGTAAATCTTGAAAGAACTGGACTCATTCATCGCAGGAACATATCTCCCAAACCTGTTCAGCTATTCAACGGTGTCCCTTTCCGAAAGGGTTCACAAGAACTCACATTTCCAGCGATCCATGTGGTGAATTCCGTTGGCTTTGATTCCTCCATTAGTTGCACTAGCTGTGGTGTGGTTCGCTGTTCCAAGTTGCTGCTGCTATTATTGGTTCCAGGGGAGAAAAGTTCCAGCGGCTGCTGCTGCGTGTTGCATATGAGAGTCGCTCTTCGTTTTCCAAATTCCTCCCCGCCTTTTCTTCCTATCCGACAAGACGATAACGACGACGACGACTATGGCGAGGGGACAGACATCAGGATACTCACCAGGGAGGTTTCCTACCCCCTCCTAATGCCGTGTTCCGTAATAGGTCTCACCTCTTACCTTGCTGCGTATTCTTTATTCATTACTCGGTATAACTGCGAATTGGTGACTTGGCGTAGACGTAGATTTTGCTGTTGGCTGTTTCTGCTGCTCGTGTTGCTGTCTTCAGATTCCCCTGTGCGGACAATACGCCATTCTGGTTCAACTGGTCCTCTATCAATACGGTTGCGAGAACTGATTTGGCGGTAGTTCGAATGCCAAACGCTCCACTGCAGTGGATTCCTGGGACAAGAGACCATCGACTTGGGATTGATATTCGACCATGTAGTCTTGTGAGAAGTCCTGTTGCTGTGACTGTGAAAGGCTGAATCCAGGCTGGGACATGTTCTGTGACATGCCCTGAGTTAACGAACCGGTTCCAATGACACCGGAAAGGTTGACTTGGCTAGATGGCGGTCCAATCGGACGCGGTTTAGGTTTGCTTCCGATGACGCCCGGTTTGATGCGACGCGCTTGTTTGGCCGCCTGCACAGCTTGTTGCTGCTGGAAGTAGCGTGGTTGGACGTTCGGCATATTCATAAACATTCCAACAGGAACCGGCATATTATTCATTGCCGCCTGAGCACGTTCCGGTGAGATATAGCTGATGGGATCGTGAGTTCTGGAAAACATATCCAGAGGAGGATTTCTCGGTCCGTTCAACATGCTTCCGATGGGACCTGGATTGCCAAACGAACTACCGGAAAATCCTGCTCCATGACCTCTTTCGAAGTAGCCGGCTTCTTTAGCGTCGTACATGACGTTATTCATAAAGTGTGATCCTGGATTCAAGGTGTTTACGATCTTTTTGGGTTTCGTGAATTGGATCATTGATTCCTTCAGGTTATTCAGAGATCCTTCCACGAGAACCTTTTTGTCCTTGTAAAAGTTCAACAAATGATTCCATAGCTGCTGTTTTGATAGCACCTTCGGGTTTCCGACGATGATTATTCCATATTTTGCACGGGTCAAAGCCACATTCAGACGCCTGGGATCGTTCAGGAAACCGATGCCCTGATGCTCGTTGGAACGAACGCACGACATAATAATGATATCCTTCTCTCGTCCTTGGAACGCGTCAACGCTGGCAATTTCTATCTCCTGATACAGTTTGGAATGCAGTGAACCTTGGTACTGCATGTACTGTACCAAATAAGCCCGTTGCCCCTCGTACGGAGTAATTATGCCAATCTGGTCTGGCTTAACACCGGCCTTCAGGAAGCGAGTGGTTATCTTTTCCACGTTCGAAGCTTCTGTGCGATTTAGATAGGATGTTCCTGATCCAGCAATTTCCTCCTGTCCTTGAGTTACCAGGAAGAACATCGGTGTATCTGGCGAAGGCCATGGAAAGTCCACCTTCAACTTACGCTCTTCGGCGCACACTCCATTCTGCAGGCTTCCTTCGTAGAAGAAGTTCGAAGGGAACTGTGACAGCTCCGGATGCATACGATACTGCACTTCCAAGCGGAACGGACGGATTCCCAACACGACCAATCGCTCAAACAAGCTTTGCGATAGTCCCGCCTTTGCTGCTTTCTTGCACATCACGACCGGCCCAAGCTGACAATGATCTCCAACTAGAATCAGTTGCTTGGCTCCAAGCACCACCGGAACCATGCATTCCGGTTCGGTAGACTGCATCGATTCATCGATGAGAATCGAACTGAACTTGATGCGCTGTAAGCGAGGGTCACCAGCTCCGACGCATGTACAGCAGATAACGTCAGCAGCTTCCAGAAGTTCCCGCTCGGCTTGTTTCTTCAACGTACGATACCGTTTCTCATCGGAGGAACTCAACTCGCCGGTCTCATCCTTCAGCTGTTGCAGTTTCTTCAGATCGCTGTTTTGTTCCATGTTACGAATCTGGTTGTGCAGAGCTAGGAAGCTGACCGGAGAATCGATAGCTTCACGAGACTTGGCACAGACACGAACCACCTTCAAACTGGTGCGATGGATTTTTTCCGTCAACTGATCTACCGCCGTGTTACTCGGAGCACATACCAAAACCGGTCCACCGTTCAAGCGAACCAACTGATAGACGATCGTTGCAGACGTGACCGTCTTGCCGGTACCCGGAGGCCCTTGAATCAAACTTAATGGGCGTTGAAGAGCATGCTTCACTGCGTACACCTGCGAACGATTGAGGTCCGGCAAATTCGGAGCGCTGAAGTGTTTTGGCAGATTATTGATACGGAACGTCACATCATCCGACCCATCTTGTCTGCCATGGCCAAGCAATCTCGAATAGATGTAGTTCGAAACGCTGTTATCATCCACTGCAAACTTTCGCAATGCCATCTGCATGCGATCAAAGGAGGTACCTTTCCAAATGAAGTCAACCGCAAAGTTCGACGTACACTCAATCGGTGCTTGATGGTTGTGCTTCAACTCCAAGCCAACGTCTTCACCGTAGTTATCCGGAACCTTGATGACATGACCCACGCAGCTCCACGGCTTATGCAGCTCTCCCGTATATCTCAAACGCAGCTCATCACCATGCATCAGCTTCATATCGCCATCATTCTTAGCCAGCGTAAAATAAGCAATCGTCTTCTTGTTCAACCCCGTGTCCCAGCGAATTTCAATATTTTCCTGCGTCTGACTTTCCTTCAGTCGCTTGTCATAATCCGCCTCCAGCTTCACCAGCGGCCCAAAGATGTTCTGATACTGATAGCCATCAACATAGCGGAACTGAACCGGAGCTGGTTCCTTATCGATGCCCGGTTTTTCCAAATCCTGAAACGTTGCATCAACGTTCTCCTTCCAGAGTTCCTCCAGCTTGTTGATTTGCGCAGCAGACACCTGTCTGGCGCGGAGCTGTTCCTGCTCTGTTGGAACCTTCACCAACCAAAACAGAAAGCACCGATCGGCGATCAGCGGCTTCCACTGCTCCTGATCCCAGTTCATGTCCTTGATGGAGTTCTGGGCAGCACAGGGTTGTCTGAAATGGAAATTTGACCAATATTTAATTCCATCAAGCTAAAAAGATCAGCCTCCCATTTACCCACCTGCACAACAACACCACGACAGAATCCGCTTTGGCCGGAATGAATCCCAGCACAAACACATTTCTCACGCCGCAGGAGTAGCACTCGAGCACCGTCTCTCCCAGGGGTCCGTCCCCGTGCAACGTCACTTCCCGGTGTTTCGCCCTTACCAGATGGTTCACGATGTGCGATCCCGAGGTGCTGCCACGGCCATTGCAGAACCACTTCTTGCAGATGTTACACATGACGACCGTGCTCGGTTCGTGGATACCGCAGTAGCGACAGGCGTGCGGCGGCAGCTCCTGACTCTGGGCCACGGGGTCATCTTCGTCTTCCTCGAACTGCAGTTCACCGATGGCGGATGTTATGCCGGCGATTTTCAGCTTGTCCGAACCGAGTCGTCGGCCGAATCCATTGAGCTGTGTGCGAAAGGGAGAAGTTACGATTTATTTAAGGGGCATTTGTGGGTTGGCGGTTATGATCTACCAAATTGGACATATAGGTAAAGGTTATTTGGTACCGTGGTGTCCATTTATTAAATTTGTTGAAATAGTTCTGATTAGTACGCTGATTATGTATATAGTTCGCTTTATGTATTTGAACTTGTAAATAGTAATTAAGTAATTTAATCATGAACAAAATTGAATTCAAACTGACATAACAACTGCACGCGATCACTGTAAATATTCTATTCTCTATCCGTGCAAAGCCATTAGCAAATTGAATTCAGTTGCAAATATACAGCAGGAGCGTTCGGTATTCTATTCCGTGTTTTCTTTGTCCGCTCGATCGTCTGAAATTAATCAAGTGAGATACAGTGCAAGACAATCTAAAATTAATTTCCTCGTTCACATCCGAAACGATCCAAAGTTTGTGACCAAACCGGGAAGTTCCGTCGGTGGTAGTGCGTGAGTCATCCTATGGACTGTTTCGTAGATACGTGTGTCCGAATCCATAAATTCGTGAAGGTGGTTATAGTGCGTTAAGAGATGGCACTGTGAAGATCAGTGCTACTGCAGTGAAATTTCGTTGTGTTGTGGCTCCGTTGTTTGAAACAACGGGTAGAAAAACCTCCGGTGGCCGGCAATTAGAGCCCACGCTCGAACAAGTTCAATAAATGAGTTCCGTTGTGGCGGGCTTCTTTGGACTGGAAGGGCTACTTTGGACACTTGTTGAATCAAATGAAGTAAATTGAAGAATCAATTGAATGGTTATCGACAACTTGTTACGGGGAGTGCAGTTTACTCGTCAAAAGTCAAAATTCCGAACTTTGCTTTGCACCACAATATTGACTACTTTATTGATGTCTTACAAACACGCTAAAGTTCGCTTACTCCAGAAAAGAAGCCTGCCACGACAGTTATCAACATATGTTTAACCGATTAATTCAGTCGTTCAAGATGTCTGCTGATCATATTTAACCATATGGCACTTTGACTATATGTTTTGTATTACTTCTGCGTGAAGTCAACGATTTACATAGTTGAAGATGCTAATTTCAAACAACAGACTAAAGTGGTAATTTTTATACGATAGATGAGGAGATGAAAGTATAAAGTTGATAGTTCCGTTAGAGTACGGCAGTGTGAAAATTGTACATAGAAGGTAAAAAGCGGGGCTACAAAATGGTGAGTGACAATCTGGAAGGAGCGATATACCAGCTCCGGTCCTCATAAGTTCCTACCTCACGCCTCCACGAGTCATATGATCACAAAAGACTGCCAACTGAAACATGGACACAGCTGGTTGGCGTAACCTGGGCAATGTTGTCAATCCGACAAAAGCAGAGTGAGGAGGTGCGACGCGAACACTGGCGCGGTAACCATAGCATGGTGATAGAGGAAATGCTTCGCCAACCCGAGCGTCTGTTCACCATGGAGGTGCGGCTCAAGCAGCGTCTGACTGGCATTCAGCGGCTGAATAAGAAATGCTCTTCCCCGGAAGCTACACCTAAGATGGCAGCCCCATCACGGCGGATAGGAGACCTTAGGCCAACCACCTACTGTCTCTGAAACCTTTACAATTGTTACAGAAACCAACAGATAAAGACATCGAACTGATTTAGGTAACTTCAACGACTTTTAGCGCAAAACAACGGACACCAATTGGATCATGGAATGTATTGACGTTAGCACAGCAGGGTAAACTGGCACAACTCGCCAACGAGGCACGACGCATGAAGCTAGAAATCCTGGGACTGAATGAACTTCGTTGGCCAAACTTTGGAGAACACAAACTGCCGTCGGGACAGGTACTACTATACTCTGGTATTCGAGGTGAAAACGCTCCCCGCCATCGTGGAGTTGGTCTCCTACTTAGCGTCCAGGCAAGTGCTGCGTTCATCAAGTGGGAGCCTGTTAATAAGAGGATAATCGTTGCCAGATTTAGAACACAGGTTCGTAACCTTACCATAATCCAATGTTATGCGCCAACCGATGCTGCCGAGCTACAGGACAAGGAGAATTTTTACAGTCAACTGAATGCCGTCGTGGATAAGGTTCCAAAGGGTGACATCAAGATCTACACTGGCGACTTCAATGCGAAGATCGGCTCCGACAACACGGACTATGAGCGTGTCATGGGACGCCATGGTCTCGGCAAAATGAGCGAGAACCGTGAGCTGTTTGCAGAATTTTGTGGCAATAACGACATGGGGATCGGGGGCTCGCTCTTCCCCTATCGACCAGTGCACAAAATTACGTGGGTTTCACATCTGCATCAGCCGAAAATTGAGACGGAGCCGGAGACGGTTCAACACACGCCGACTTGAAGATCCAGCGGTAAAAAGGTCTTTTGTTGAAGAACTTGAGACTCGAGCTGCGGACGTTCCAGAAGGTGACAGCGTAGAAGAACAATGGACGGCCATCAAGAATGCCTTTATAGAAACAAGCGAGAACAACTTGGGTGAGCTGCGCACCCAGAGGAAAGAGTGGATCACAGATGAAACCTGGCGGAAGATTGAGGAGCGTAGAGAAGCAAAAGCCGCGATAGAGTGGGCGAGAACCAGAGGAGCCAAGAACGAGGCCCGTCAACGGTACTCAGCTCTAGAGAAGGAAGTCAAGCGCTCTTGCAGACGGGACAAGCGAGCGTGGGTGAACTCCCTGGCCGACGAAGGGGAGAAAGCCGCAAACACTGGCGATATACGCCTCCTCTACGATATCTCACGACGCCTGAGTGGAGCAAGGATAAACCCGAGGATGCCAGTGAAGGACACGACTGGACAATTGCTTACCGACCCCACTGACCAGCTGAAACGCTGGTTTGAGCACTTCGAACAACTTCTTCAAGTTTCGACGGCCAACCAGCCATCAACATCTCGGCATGATCCGCCTAGGGTGCGGCGCATTACTCGTGTCAATTCCGAGGCTCTATCACTGCAGGAGATTGAAGCAGCTATCCGAAGCATGAAATCCAACAAGGCTCCAGGGGTCGATCGCATATCAGCAGAGATGCTCAAAGCTGACCCTATGCTATCCGCACAAATGTTGCATCAACTATTCTGTAATATCTGGGACACTGCGACTTTTCCGGTTGACTGGATGCAGGGCATCTTAGTGAAGGTCTCAAAGAAAGGGGATCTGACTGTGTGCGACAATTGGCGAGGCATCATGTTACTGTGTATTGTTCTCAAAGTTCTGTGCAAAGTTATCCTGAATCGGATACAGGAGAAGATCGACGCGACTCTCCGACGGCAGCAGGCAGGATTCCGTGCCGGAAGATCTTGTGTGGACCATATTGTCACGCTCCGCATCATCCTGGAGCAGGTCAATGAATTCCAAGAGTCCCTTTATTTGGTATTCATTGACTACGAAAAAGCTTTCGACCGTCCCAATCACGAGAATCTGTGGGGCGCCCTGAGACGCAAGGGAGTCCCGGATAAAATCGTCAACCTCATCGAAGCGCAGTATGAAGCTTTCACGTGCAGAGTTCTGCATAACGGAGCCTTGTCCGACCCTATCTGGGTAGTCGCTGGTGTGGGACAAGGATGTATACTATCACCGCTACTGTTTCTCATCGTAATCGACGAGATCATGGTAGGTGCAATTGACCGTGTACCGAACCGTGGGCTGCTTTGGCAGCCTATCACCATGGAGCATCTCAACGACTTCGATTTGGCTGATGATGTTGCTCTACTAGCACAACGGCGCTCTGATAAGCAGAGTAAGCTCAATGACCTAGCCGAACGCTCCTCTGCGGCGGGTCTCACCATCAACGTCAACAAGACCAAATCGTTGGATATCAACACGGGCAACCCTTCCAACTATACGGTAGCGGGGCAAGCAGTGGAGAAGGTCGAAAGTTTCCAATATCTTGGCAGCCAAATAGCGTCGGACGGCGGGACCAAGAGCGAAATAGGTGCACGAATCAAGAAGGCTAGGGCTGCCTTCGCGAGTTTACGAAACGTATGGAGATCCAACCAGATAAGGAGTCGAGTTTCGAACGCCTTTGAATACGGTTGTGTCTTAAGTTTCTTCTCTGTATTGTGCGTGCATTAGCTTTCATAGTTTTCGGCTGCATTTGCCGGATTAGCGCTGGCACTCTGCCTCCCGGACGGTTATACGTGTGTGAGTGGTGGTTTTCTCGCTTTCCGAGAAGTTTTAGAATCGAGAAAGAAAACATGATTCATCATGTTTGCAAGCAACAGAAGATTTGACTCTATCTGCGTTGTTTGATTTTTTCTCCCGGTCCAGAAATTTGTGGCGAGCGATAATTTTAATTTTAGTTTATTGTTGATGTTGGTTCACTCGCAACTATTTTTGAAAAAATTAAGTGTTTTCGAACGAAAGTGTACCAAAAGTGCTTCTGAACGTGTTTCGTAGTTGCGTGTGGTGAAATTCGTGCATTCCCGGTTGATTTTGGAAATCCGTATCACAAAATTGCCCACCGATTCCTTTTTTTTTGCCGTTCGACGACGACGGGTGTGCTTTCGCGAGAGTGACGTTTATTTGATCCGTTTCTTTGCACGGGTGTGTTTTTTTTTGTAACTAGCGTAAGTGTGCCTGCGATTTGCATTGAGTGTCGGAGATTGTAAGTAATCTGAAGGATGCCTCGCTGGATACGCCCAAGACTGGACGGGCAGTAGCTGGTGGTCGTGAACGGTTCCTTGGGAAAGCACTAGATGCGACCCTCCTCCCAGATGACCATGGCAATACAGGAAGTATTGGTATTGGAAGGTAATTGCTATTAGATATTTTGCAAACAGTGACAGATAGCGGCAGTGCTGCAAAATTTCGACAATACACGGTGATACTCAAAATTCTGCTTTGGTCACTCGTTTGAGCTAACAGTCATCGTCAAGGCAAACCATGTCAATTGTCAGTAGCATTTTTGTCAGTGACGAACATGTGCTGATTTGTTTATTAGCTAAATTTGAAATGAAATTAAATGGCTTGAGCAAAACAATTACATGGAGCCATTA